TTTCAGCTAACTTGAGATAAAAATTTGAATTATTCATTCTTGAGAAACTCTCACTTGAAGTTGCCAACCAAAATCAATTGGAGAATTTTACTCATGAACGTTACCATTACCGTGTACTCTCGTGAATAAGCAGACCCCCTCGATCATATGAAAATGATCGGCAAACCGTCACGTGAATAACAAACTTAGGGGGTTTGGTTTATAGTAATCACAGTAACCAGAATTGTAAATAAAAGACTTTATAATCACGTGTATTATGTAATAAACTGTTAATGAGGGGTACGTTGTGCGGGTAATTGTGGTAATCATGGGGCTAGGTCTGCTTGTATACAGTACTTCGTTTTAGCTAAATAGGTGTCAGATCGCCACACGTGGGAGAGCGTTCGTGTAACGACCTTGGGATTTAGTCGTCTTCCGGCGGAACTCTTAGGCTCGTTCCTACTATCGCTAAACCTCTATCCAAATAGTGACTTTAATAAAATTTATCAATACTCACGGATTTACAATCCGACTATCTGTATACGCTTTCTCTGAATTCTATTTAACCTCCGAGTCAAACAACGATTATGATTCGCTAGGGATTATTAACGAAAATTTATCGACGCGGAAGTTTATAAATAGTAACGCGTTAAACATGCAATTAAATAGAAATCCTGATGCCTAAGTTCCGATAAGTTTGATGGGCAAACCAGCGATCGAATAAAACTCACCAGGGAATGGACGAAAATAACAACTTATATTAATTACAGATTTATTAGAATTCAGAGAGCTATTCTAATTACAAGGATTATAGGGACAAATAAAATAAACTGAAGACAATGTTCAGAGCGGTACAACTGCTTATATGTCTAACTACCGTTTCACTATTTTGACACCATATTTTGATATATCGGGAGCGATCAGCTGCGTAGTAATTTTGACATCGCTATGTTACATTTGACACCAGATGTGGATATATCGGGTCATTTATATCTCTATTTATATCTGACACCAAATCTGCCCCGATGCGGTGCCAAATATTACTGTGCCACAGATCGGAAATGTTTGTATCATTGAGCGGAAATCACTGAGGAATACGTCACCTTTTAGACCTAGGCTTGACATAGGCAAAAGCACATCTTAATCTGCCACTGAAAAGTTGTTAATGGTGAAAGGAGATAAAATACTGTCTTTGAGTATTAGTATCATTTATTGCTTGATTGAAGCATTCAAGCATGGACAGCAAGGCATTAAAGATGAAACATGCTCTGAACAGGCCGTGTGAAGCTGTCACAAAAATGACAATTACAGATTTGAGCAATTGTTAATGATGCCACCATTTAACAACACAAAAATTAGTTAAGTAAGTTGGTTTTTCAGAGGGAATGAATTGATCCTGTTCTTCATCAAGAGCTCAGCAGGGCTGATGCAATTGCTCCTGTGTACTATCCTGACAACAGTATGTATTTGCACTACCTCCCTGAGAAATTTTTACAAAAAATAGGTTCTATGCTTTATTATAGTAATACTGCGCCACATATTTTAAACTGGTATTTATAAAGAAAAAGTTGATACTCTCCATTACCCATGTTATGCCATATTAATATGACACCTGTGATTTTTTCTATTTCCTAAGATCAAGAAAGAACTTGAAAATAAAGCATATAATAAGGATGAAAATATCATGTTGGCTGTTCAGCCAATTACTTTCAGTATAGTAAAAGAGGACTACTACTACCATAGATCCTTGAGGATTGGCATAGATAGAGATGGTGACTACTTTGAAGGAATAAAAAAGTTTACTTTGATGTTGTAACATGAATGTTTTAAATAAAGAATTTTTTGTATTACTTTTCAGCTGCCCCACGCAAATAGGGAAATGGGTGGACAAATAATCGTTAACTGCAGACTATTGCTTTTTGAATCGGTTTACTAGGTGGCTCCTCTTCCTTGTCTCTGTTGGTGGACGGGTGCGGATCTGGATCGGGTTACTGGTGACGTCCCCTCCTACTCCCAGTGCCCGGAACACTCATCAGATATCTCCTTTTTCTTTCTTTTTTTTACACAGCTTTAGATGACGGGGAGAAGGTTTTGGGTAAGTATAAGGTAAGTATCGCATTGTTTTACGTTATAACTAACACTATTTTCTTTTTCTCCCATTTTTTCTTTTCACTGACGGTTTGCCAGTGACCGGATGGTGAGTTTGCAGCCTTGGCACGCCGGGTTAAAATCCACCTAATCAATATTACAATTTATTCATAAAAGAATAGAAATAGTAATAGTAATAATTTTTGATAACGAAAAAAAGGGGAAATGAATGACAAAAAACTTTCTAAGATTAAACAAGCGAACGTCGTTCGGATAAATAATATTAATATTACTGTCCGCCTCATGCGCTCTGTTATTTTATTTAACTTGAACTTAATTCGTTATTTAATCGGTCTAATAAATCACGTGCTGTAATATCTGTTATGAATTTTTTTCCTTAGACAATATCAAAAGAAAGACTCAAGCTCATACAGAAAGATACCATGTTTGGTACATATACAACTACCAGCAGGTCTTGATATAACGACACGCTTGGTCCAACTTCCAATGTCACTATATCGAGTATGCTCCTTATACCAAAAATTTAACTTTTATAAAACAACTAAGCAAAGTTCAACAAATTAGCGAAAACAAATCGATTTTATTGATACACAGTGAAAGTCGATATAACGGACCGTCGATATAACGGATTTTGCCTTATCTGTTATACGGACTTTTTTGCTGGGACGGAATTTTTACTAAGTATTATAGCGGAGTTTTATATTAAACAGTGACATAACGGATCCGGACTAATTTTGCCCGAACACAATTAATTTAGCTTATCTCGATATACCGGATTTTGTGTAACGTAGTCAGATTTTCTGCTACACGTATCTAACAAATTACAAACTTAACATAATATCGACTTATGGCCTTATCAATTTAAATAAAAAAAAAAAGCTTTTCAGCAAAGTGATGTAAACAAACGAACACTCGCGTTACCTTAACAGCATTACAGAAAAAAGAACTATGTGAGCTAATCCTGTACTCAAGCAAAAAGATATAGTAAAGGAGTATAAAATATCAAAACAGGCAGTCTCAGATATTTTTGAAACAAGAAAAAACGTGGTTAACAATAGAGATTAAGAAAGGAAATTGTTATGAAACGCATTGAACAAAGGAGGCAGACAAATATTGACGAGTTTTTTACATTCGAGTCTTAAATTGAATTTATCGTTGGGTATTATTATTATGTCACACATGTTATAATCGTGAATAATAATAGATTAATATTAAAGGCCGTCGTTATAACGGATTTTTTGCAAGTTTAGTTAAGAGTCCGGTATAAAACTCACTGTTCGATGTAACAGACCGTCGATATAGCGGACAAAAGTGCTGGTCCGAGCAGTCCGTTATATCGACTTTCACTGTGTACTATAGACAACTGTTAAAACTTATTACAGGAACTAAAAAAGCTATCAATTTTCGTTTGTTTTATCGAGTTTATCCGGCGATTGTTGCTTGAATAGAAATGGAACGCGAAGAACCAAAAAAAAAAAAAAAGATGCATGTCATGTCATGAAGATTTGCCGTCAAAATGTATAACGACTGTTACTATATTAAATGCCTCCCGATACTTTATGAGTATTAGGATTTGTCCAACAAGCATTTTCGTTATTGTTCGACGATATAACAAGGTTGTCGTTATATAGCAGTGTATCCTCCTGAATTGTGCTATTCTGGATAACGGGTAGATGAAAGAAAGGTTACGGCTATTACTATAGTCTGATTTGGAAGTTTAAAATTTGACAAGTGTCAAGAGGTAATTGGACGATCGTCAGGTGAACCTAAAATCGGTAGTAGAGGAGCTCTCTCCTCCCTTGCACAAACCAAACTTGGTTCAAAAAAAAATTGCAAACGTTAAAAGCTCATCTAGAATATTGGCAAGTGTATGCATTTATGTCAAACCTTCCCAGAAGAGGAAGTCCATACTCGATTTATTAATATGAATAACAAACATTCCATTTACTACAGCTTTAGTAATAAGGTTTGAAATACTGTATTCCCTCACACATCCAGCTTATTGTTTTGCTCTCAAATAGGCTTCAATTATGCAATGGCAGCATTATTGCCCATGAAGAAAATAGTAATCAGCGGAGAAATCCATACATGAAACATATTTACTATTAAGGTTATATTTGTTGCTGTAAATGACATAAACAACAACAACCCCCCATTAAGACAATTAAATTATGCTCGATAATCGTCACTGTACCAATCTGATTTACCGGTTTTGGTTTAACGTTATTTAATAGATTTCCTTTTTAATAAACCAAACACTGATTGGCGTTAGATGTGAATTAGAGATGATCGATCGATGGACGCAAGTAATAAAAAGTAAATGATAGTAATAGAATGACATCACAAAGTAACGGTTCGTGAGCATACCAAAGTTGGCTAGATTGTCCATGCTTTTTTCGTGTCATGGATTCTGTGAACAAAGCAATGCTAAATATTTGTGGTCGCTACAAAGGGTGTACCATCGCATCGCCCAAGTTTATGCCAGCTGAAGATCCATGCTTCAATTACCAGATGGGGAAACCTGGACACCCGATTTACTTGCACCTGACAGAATGCATATCGTGCGTAAAAGCCAAGAAGATCCCTTGTAAAGGGCAACCGCTTTGAGTTACCATTTTTCGGTCGTAAGGACAATAACAAGTAGGGGGAAATGTCACAAATCCCTCATGGTATGGTCTCCCGCGCATCTAAGATCCGCATATCTATGATGTAATAGGACAAGTCCATGGTTAATGTTACACATGTTACACACCCATGCGCTCCCTTGGGTTACATTAACTAATTATATTTCCAGTGGATCATCTAAAAATGCTATATTTATAGGATAGATCACACATCTCTACAAAACGGCCTTTTTTTCTCAAGACTTGATTAAGTGAATTGTTTATTGCCTTTTGCACCCGCTAATCAAAATGTCACGAAACGGAGAGAAAAAATCTCTTGTTACACATTTCGTAGCAGGAGGTGGAGCAGGATTGACGGAAGCCTTATGCTGTCATCCATTGGATACAATAAAAGTGCGAATGCAGCTTAGCAAAAAGGTAAAATGACAGCCTGTCATTCGACTCTGCACTTTATCATTAATCGGTCTTCTCGTACCATCATCTGTATTGTTTCGAAACCATACTAATGATCATCTACAGTCCCCACGACCAGGCTTTATCATGACGGCCGTATCCATCGTTAGGAGAGAGTCTTTCTTCGCACTGTACAAAGGTCTTGGTGCCGTTGTTACTGGAATAGTGCCAAAGATGGCAATTCGTTTCTCCAGTTTTGAAGCATATAAAGGTTTACTCACCAATAAACAAACCGGAGTGGTGTCAACAACGGCTACATTTTTCGGTAAATTTCGTTAATTTGCCGAGTTCAGAATGTCTTTACTTGAGGAATTCTTAATGTTCAATCGATTATTTATGACGAATGTGCTAATTCAATCAATAATGTTTTCGTTTTTTAACCCCTCTCAAGCTGGTCTTGGAGCTGGTACAACCGAAGCAGTAATGGTCGTGACCCCTATGGATGTGATCAAAATCCGTCTGCAAGCCCAACGCCATTCCATGACCGATCCTCTTGACATCCCGAAATACCGTAATGCCGCACATGCCGCATTCACTATTGTAAGGGAAGAAGGTCCTTCTGCATTGTACAAAGGTGTCGCATTAACTGCTCTTCGGCAAGCTACGAACCAGGCTGTGAACTTTACGGTGTATCAGGAAATGAAGAAGCGAATGCGGAAATTGCAAGGGACCCAGGATGGGCAGGTGTTGCCGACATATCAACATTTGTTGATGGGAGGGATTTCAGGAGCCATGGGTAAGTGTATCTTTTAGAGTAACAACGAGTCTCTGATTGAGTAGTACATCTCAATGCGTACTACGATGATATTGTGAGAACGGAAAGAATGCTTGTAATACTGGGCAATCAAATCATTTTCAAGATCCTGTCAACCCTTCCCACGCTAATTAAAACGGAATAGCAAAACATTAACCGAGTCTTGTTTTTTTTTCTTCTTTTCTTTGCAGGTCCAATTGCTAATGCACCAATCGACACTATCAAAACTCGTATCCAACGCTCAGCCAGTCCATTAACCGGATGGGCCAGATTTAAAGAAGTTACCTTCTCGCTTATCAGAAATGAAGGTTATCTCGCCTTATACAAGGGTCTTCTTCCTCGGTTGATGCGTGTTGGTGTTGGGCAAGCTGTGACATTTGCATCTTATGAACGTATTAAGATATACATAGACAGACTCTCCGCCAGAAGTGTGACTTTCCCTACACTTAGTGAACGGGAGCAGATAGGCGCAACTAATAAAGGTTCGTGAACAATGAAATGGGTCTTTGGTGAGAGGGAATGGGTAAGGGACTGAAAAGAAAAGGCGGGAAATAAAGGATATGAGGAGAGAACAAGAGTAAGAGAAGTATAGAAATATGTTCTTTCCATAGTAATGTAATAAGAACGTAATTAGAAGATAGAAAAACAACATATATAAATTAAAAATATCACGTTTTGGACGTTAATTGGGTATAATCAAAAGTTTTCTTTGGGAGGGTTTCACTTAAGCGTTGAGGGGTTATTTCTAATTCTCGTTGTTATTGTTAATATCTGAGCCTATATGTGTGTGTACCTCATTAGCGCACGACGAGTAACAGAGTTGTTAATTGGATCATTCCAAATAAATTAAAAAGCGAGCGATTCCACACTTTCAGTTGAGCCGGCAGTATAAGAGTGAAAGTAAAGATCAATGAATCTCCAAATAAATATACTGGATTTCAATATTTTCGGATTAACAAGTTTTTTAACATAACGCATGGAAAACCTGCGGGCGAATCTGGAAATGAGTTTGGCGCTTGCGTTTTCGGTTCTGGCTCATTTTTTTTGTTCGATATAACGCTAAAGTGATGATAAGGAAATGATGCCAATTATATAATAATGAGATCTTAGGCTTTTATTACTATAGTTTCTGGAAATCCCAATTTATTGGCCAAAGTCAAATAGTTTTTTTTTGGCATTTGGGACAATTTAATTTAATTTACATAAACGTGATTGGCACGTTATATATAGTCTCACTTATAGTATGAAAAAGTTTTGGAGTCGATTTATGTTCATGTGACAATGCGATTAGCATGTACCGGCATTAATGTACGGACTTGCTAGGATATCCTCAGTTCCAACGCAGATAAGTGCAAAAAATCACAATTTTTTGGCATCGCATCTCAAACCTAGTCTTCGCTCAAAGTCGGCAATTATGGAAATGATCTGCTTGATTTTTTAGCGATAATGTTTACTCGCCAAGAGAAGAAGGTTGCAGTCGGAACAAGAACATACACCTGCACAATACGGCCCGTTATCAGAAAGCGCTGAACGCTGATCTTGCTGTTTAGAAGATAGCAAAGGACAGTTAATCATATCAAAAAAAGCTAAAACAATAACTTGCATGGGGTTGGAAAGGGATAGACAGGGATACAGTTCTCAAGGACGTGTATATTAATATGCACAATTGTCTTGGTTGTGAAGGCTTGGATATAAAAGAAAATCAAACTGTCTACGGCTACGCCAATGGCAAGAAATAAATAAAAAGGCAAAAGTAGTAGGTTGACAAGATGATTCTCTGATGGAATCGTTGTAACTTGACCTTAACAAAGTCTGCTTTTATTGTAACATATAATATAACCTTAATACATCCGTAACATTATTTCTCACACATCTTCAAGCACATTTTGGTCAGCAGGCATATCTAATGTGATATGAAAATGGTGGATGTTAGAATACGTATTACATTGGCAGCGTGCTGCCCGGACTTGTTATAACGAATACAAACCTCTTTGTCCATTCTCGAGCAATTCTATCATGCTCCTCACGATCGTGCAAATACTGATGTGCAATACTTCCGACAAGTGGATCATCTAAATAAATATTAATAAACACAGTCAATGGACCTTCCATAGTTTCTAATTGTAAACCATTGCCCCTCCAATCAATTCTTATGCAATACACGTAAACTAAACGTGCGAAAGCGATTCCGAACGTTGCTTAGTACATTCACAATCTAGTGAACTTTAGACTAACGGGCACGGACGTGCACATCCCTCTCCCACTTGGTAAAAACTCTAATGATGCTTACGTGGATTACAATCGGTCAGAAGGGAACATATAGATAAAAGAACTTTGGAAATGGTCAATGCCGGAGACCAGTTATCTTTTAAGATGTCCAGACAGATTTGCCCTTGAGAGTTAATATTACAATGATAGATGCGAGTACGGTAGACTACCTAAAAGTCAAAGAGGTGGGGAAAGAGAAAGATTAGAAAGGCGATTTTAGGGAGGAGAATACGAGCGAGCAAACGGAGAGATCTAAAAAATGATGATACTATATAGAATAATCCAGTGCAAACACGAAAATAGACATTAATCCTTATCCATATACTAAATTGGCATCAACTCCCTCTTTCCTCTTTGACCACATTCTACGCACATACCTTTGGAGGCTTAAAAGGATAGTCCTGAGGAAACGTAATGTCTAGAAAGAAAATCCCCCCAGCATAAGGTGAGCCAGCGGGGCCCATAATGGTCGACACCCATTCATACAGATTATCGCCCTTGGGACCAGCGCTTTCAAAGCGTTACCGACACAATGGGAGGGGAAGACATGGTAGGATTGGGATAAAAAACAAAAAGACGGTGAGAGGAGTTGTGGTTGTTTGAGTTTTACGTCGAGCTCGAATGCATTAGAGAGTACGAATGCATTAGAGAGCAGAGATAATAACTCGGCAATAGAAAACCAACCTGCAATTACAAGGAGGATCGAGACTGATTTCTGCAAGTTCTTTTTGAATTCTGAAATGTAATTTGTTGAATGGTAGAGGATAAAATATGTAATTTATAAGCTAATGCTCTTGCATATGTCAATCCGTTAGGTTTATTTTTACTAATCTACAGGTGTAGGGTCTATAATGCGTTTGTATTCTATGAGGAACGCGTATATTCACACTTTCTTCCTTCCGATTCTCTGTATCGTATTTCGACTGTGTAAATTTACCTTTTAGCGCTGCTACTAGTCGGTGCTGGTGTTTTTCCTTTGATAACTCTACTAATATTCGGTGGAGTAACACTATTATTATTTGAACTTTCTGTTGTCATCGTCGCAGTGGCAGTCGTCGTCGTTGTCGTCGTTGTTGTTGTAGTACTACTCCCTCTATTACTGCTATTTCTACTATTAACTGTACTTCTCTCTGCTGTCATATGTGAATTAGATGCGCGTCTAGTTGAATTACTCATATTTTATTTCTACGCGTATAATATAAAGGGGGGAGGGTTTTTGTATTGGTTGTTAAGGTTTACAAGTGTGGATGCAGAGTGCTGTGTCTATTTGTGAATTTGGGAAAGGTAAGGGTAGCGGTGCTTTTGAAATGGAAGGTGGCAGGTGATGTGGGGGTCATTTTATTGGACGAGAGTTGTTGAGGTAAGAGAGAAGGCGAGAAGAGCCCGGAGGGGAAGGATAATGAGTGATTGATGCATATATGAGCGGATCTGATTGGCGTCGATTGATGGATTGACATCTGGTCGTTGACAATGCGCAGACAAGAATCAGGCAAAGCATTATCAAAGAGAATTAGGCTTTGTTTTGAAAGAGGGAATCAATCTTGTCAATTCGACTCAATGGCGGCGTTGGCAAACTCATACTCTACTTGACATTTAAAATCAAATTTGTAGGCACTTTTTAATTATAAGAGGGCAGCATTGATGGGTAACAAAATAACCATACCACGTTGAAGAAGTCTTTCGCTCCTATCTCCTCATCCACAACGTCAACTATCAAAATGTCTCATATGATATCTCTCCAAAGCCCACGATACAGTAAAGAGTTATTGGATAGAGACTATTATTCAAATTTCTGTCTAAGGGAGAAAGGAATATTGAAAATTGACCATATCGAGTTATGTCATCTTTTGTCGAGCTAATACATGCGCCAGAACAGGCACGAACGCTTTATTTAGATCGTAGATTCAACGGGTCAATATCATACTAGATGCTAATTCCATATCATTTGGCGCTAGCGGCAAACTCAACGGAAAGACCATTTAAACAGGGATTCGCAATTTCGCAGATTTCTTGCACTGCGTTATGGAAACGGTGCTGTTACTTTTCGAGATTTTTTGAATGTTTAGAGACGGAAACAATCCCGCCGTTAATATTAAACCGCTCATCAATTACAGTATCGCGTTTCAATGAGCAGAGATACATGAACGTCACTCGATGTGTTGGTCTCATTTTATTCTTTGGTTGCCCAAGCAGATTTAGCAAGGATTAACATTACGTAATAAGGCGTCGATGAGTGTCATGAGCAGTTTACGCATTGAATGGTGAATATCGTACAATTAATATTTTATAATAGTCAGGTTTTGTCGTAAAAACAGTACCTAATACAAATAAGGAAGCAGAATATGCGACCACGTGAACGCTTTACTTTATTGTTAACAACATTATTATTATGCACATATAAATATGGCAGATGCGTACAATATTAACAACCGATTATTAAGAATGAAGGTAACCATACTCCTAATTATTTCAACGAAAATTCTCATGTATATCTCTTGAGTAGATATCGGTTTTTTGCATTCTTTGTTGATAGCACCTACGGCCAAGTTAAAGCGACACGTTATCTTCTCTTAAAGATAACAAAGTTTGTTGACTGTTTCACTTGTGAACAAGTGGCCTGGGGCGAAACTTTAACGGATGGATAACCATAGATAATCGCCAACAATCCAAGAAGGTTATTTACTGATCACATCCAAGCAGGTTTTATCCGGCGACGAAAAAAAAAAAACCTTCCGGAATAACACTTTTATCAATTGCACAACATGAAACCTTACAGCTACGCTCTTCTTTTTTACTTAGTACCGTATCTTATTACCATTTCTTTTCAATCTTGACGTAAGTGCTTTTTCAAATCTTTTCTATTCTTTCTGAATTATTCCACAAAAGGCCTCACTGTATGCTTTTTACCAGACTATCTTTTCAACACGTGTCAGCAAGAATTTGCCACGAATTTCCGATTTGATTAAGATCTGGATTATTTGACCAAGATGTCATTTATTCGAAGAGAGTGTTCGGGATCTTCAAGAACATGGTTGGGCATTATTTTTGAGTTTTTCCGGTACAGTTGTATATCATAGAAAGCGAAATAGAACTTGGTTTATGCAAAGTGTAGACATCTTGAGCTTGAGCATCGTTTGCCATAGAGTGGGCGACGTTGGTCAATCAAAGGCTTTATTATTGTATTTTTAGTAAAAGAACGAAAAGCATAAACAAGCAAGACAGATCATGCAAATTACAAAACTATGTAGCCACTTTTTGTCGGCGCGTATTTTAGAAAGAAATAGTGTTATTCTATTCCGTAAACTCTTTTCGTGTACTGTAATTCACTGAAGACAATGACTTCAACTTGGTGTTTTTGACTAGTCAATTCTTGAATAACCATAGTAATAGTTTGTCATTTACACATAGCGTTAAAAAATGGCTTGATGGGACCAGCGCATAAATATATCGCTTCCATAAGAAAGCGAGAGAGTTCCGGAGCTGTTCTCCGTCCCTTGCTAGTTGTGTTGCCACAACAAAGCTTGGAACAGAGTAGATGTTTAGTGCAGTATTATAATAAGTCAGTAAAACACAGCCGCTTGTTATCTTGTAAGAATAAAAGCGTAAAGCGCGTTGCCATTGTTTATATTTTATGTTTCACGTGGTAATCCGAATTTCTAAAGGAAAAATTTTATTGGTTGATATATACTTTGACCAATGTAATTGCAAGGATCAGGTCACGTCTATTCCGCTTTAGCATGACCGCATAACGTCACCAAATAGGAACAGTGTCACCTACCTCATCAGGTATATATTGATATTTTTATATAGCAAGTAGTGAAGACTTTATCAATAATTTAGCCCTACTCCGGCTATCAGCAACGCATTCTGTGAGTGATCAATAACTGAGGCTATGCATTCACATATGCATAATTACGTATCCAGTTGTACACAACACAAACTCTTCACGTAAATCGTGCTTAATGTTCGATCGTATGATTTTCTGTACGACTTACGCAGACAAAAGAGTGTGTCAAATTGACTACCAGCGACAGCAGTTCAAACGCCTCGTTGTAGTGAAATATGGGACAAATTTGTGTTGTCTATCACTATCACTAGGTAATGATCTTCGCTTAGAAGTGGTAGGTAATAATAATAACGCCGAATAAAGCTGATAATAAATAGCGTACATTAATACTTGCATGTAATTTCTCACCGAGAACCAGACAATCAGCATTGTGTGCACACTCTTATAATATAGCAATATACTCACCCACTGGATTTGAAGCCTAATGTTTCGATGGTAGATCGATAGGCTTAAAGATTTCTTTTACGAAATTTGTTGAAAACCCGGCTGCTGTACACTTGCGTTAACACATGCAGATTACGCGTAAACCACAGAAGTATGCACCCCTTCTCTTACGTCAGTTAATAAAAGCGGGGACGTGAGAATGTAAAATTTATCATCCCGCATCTTTGTTTATACGATCGACATATTATTCGAGATGTAATAGGGCTAGGTATGGTGGGTAGGTATGGTACAACTGCTGAAAAGCTACATTCTCGGAACATCAGACCACTTTATCAATACGGTATTGTTATTCTATAAAATAAAAATCCCAAGATGATTTTATTACCAAAAAAAATTCCCTGGTGTAATCTCTTGTACAAAAGTATCCGCTAGAGGGACGCGTTTTGGAGAAGAAAGTGTCTTTGAATATAAATTTAAATGCAACGAACTATTATGTTGAGAGGTCGATGTCCGTCCGCGGCGAACAAGTATATTAAGAGAGTACGTATTTTTAGCGACATTAATGATGATATGAGTGAAACAGGACGATCTTTTATACTATTTGTGCATTTGTTAGACCTATGCAGCGGTGAGAAAGCCCAAGACGCCTTTGCACCCCGAATGGAAACCTCTAGTGACAAAGGAGCTGAAGGGTAAAGATCCTGAGCAGACATTGACGTGGCATACAGCCGAAGTATGTTTCAAAATAAGTCACCGTGATCAGAGCCTCGACTATGTATACCTGTCTTGATGAATGTTGTTAATACATGTGTGCCAAACATAAGGATATAGATGTGAAGCCGTTGTATACCAAGTTGGATACCGAGAATATGCCTGATGAAATCCCGGGCAAGTTCCCGTTTACAAGAGGACCGTATGCATCCATGTACACTGCGAGACCATGGACTATCAGACAGGTACCGGAAAAAAAAAGTTATGATAATATATGGAGAGAGCACATGTAATTATACGCATTATGGAAACGATCTATACCGATTAACACGAAATCATTCGATCTGATCTAATAGTATGCGGGATTCAGCACAGTCGAAGAATCAAATGCCTTTTATCGCAAGAACTTGGCTGCTGGCCAACAAGGACTGTCCGTTGCCTTTGATCTCGCAACACATCGTGGGTGAGTACATCGGGCTAGGTTATTGGCAATTAATGCATCGTCAATTGTTAATTTGACCGGTAATCAGGTACGACTCTGATCATCCGCGAGTAATCGGTGATGTTGGTATGGCTGGAGTGGCAATCGATTCGGTCGAAGATGTAAAGGTAAGATGCGTGACTAATTAGAGGATGCGATGAAAATTGAATAGTAAAAGAAGGCGCCCTAATTCTATTTCCAATTCATAGATCTTGTTTGACGGCATTCCTCTAAACAAAATGTCAGTGTCTATGACTATGAATGGGGCTGTACTTCCTATATTAGCTATGTACATTGTTACTGGATTAGAACAGGGAGCGGGACTAAAGGAACTATCGGGTACTATCCAGAACGACATTCTCAAAGAATTTATGGTGCGGAATACATTTATTTATCCGCCTGAACCATCAATGAAGATTATCGGCGACATATTTTCGTATGTCTCTAAGGTGAATATACTACAATCGGTTAGGGAGATGACGAACGGAATGCAATGTTTGAATATTCATATCTCGAGTATAACTGGTCTCTTTAGAACATGCCCAAGTACAATTCAATTTCTATCTCTGGGTATCATATGCAAGAAGCTGGTGCTAACAATGTATTAGAGCTGGCATTTACTGTGGCAGACGGTTTGGAGTATATTAGAACAGGTAAGATCATAAAAGCAGTGTTTTCCATTTCCCGCTTTATTCATCACACTTTAATGTTTTCTGATTCAGGCATTAAGGCTGGGATGAGTGTCGATGACTTTGCTCCTCGCTTGTCATTTTTCTGGGGCATAGGAATGAACTTTTATATGGTACGACAAAATTCAATGCCACTGCGTATAATGTTACTAGTTTAATATGTTCAACATAGTCTTATTGAATGCATGCATCCCAACAATTGACTGTAGGAAATCGCTAAATTAAGAGCTGCTCGTCGTCTATGGGCCACATTACTCAAAGAAAAGTTTAATCCAAAGAATCCTAAATCAATGATGCTCAGGACTCATTGTCAAACTTCCGGGTGGTCATTAACAGAACAGGTGCTTATAATGATGACAGCATTTTGCACTAGCACTCTTACCCGTCCTGATAAATTATTTTTCTACATCTACAGGATCCGTACAATAACATAATCAGAACGACAATAGAAGCGATGGCGGCCGTTCTCGGCGGTACCCAATCACTCCATACAAACTCATTCGACGAGGCCATTGGCCTTCCTACTGAATTCTCTGCTCGTATTGCCCGGAATACACAAATCGTTCTCCAAGAAGAAGCATGCATACCCAAAGTAGCCGACCCATGGGGAGGAAGTTACATGATGGAAAATTTGACTACAGAGTTGTATGAAGCAGCGAGGGACATTATTGAAGAAGTTGAAGCTATGGGTGGTATGGCCAAAGCCGTTGCTAGCGGCATGCCAAAGTTGAGAATCGAGGAAAGTGCGGCTAAGCGGCAGGCGAGGATTGATTCCCAACAAGGTAAAGAAGGGGTTCCTTATGTATCGTGGAGGTGGTGATGATGTATACGATTTGCAGAGCTGTCATAATTTTGCAGTAAGGCGAGATTGTTCGAGTGATACTTTAGAATGATTCCGAATGCGGAAATTTTATCGTCATTCTAACTGGTCATCATCTTTAAGAGACTATCGTGGGGGTGAACAAATATCGACTTGAAAAGGAGGACAATGTCGATGTGCTCGTGATTGACAATTCAAAAGTGCGAGAGGAACAAATCAATCGTATTGAACAAGTTAAAAAAGAGAGAGACAACGCAAGGGTATACATTCGTCATATATCATACGTCCTACAACATACATATAAGATCACGTTAACTGACTGATATTGAATGAACTAGGCTGAGGCTGCTCTGTCTGCGCTTACAGATTGTGCTAAGGCTGGCATTGGTAACCTGCTTGAACTGTCAATTCAGGTGAGTAATCTGACCGAATCAATCCGATCTTTTTTGGAGAGAAATGTCCGTAGGTCATACGATTAGTGTTGAAATAGGCTGCCAAGGCCAGATGTACTGTCGGCGAGATTTCCTATGCTCTGGAGAAAGTATGGGGACGGCATGAGCCATCGAGCAGAGTTGCCAGCGGGGCATATAAATCAGCATATGGCCCGCAAAGTGAAATCGACGAGACACTCAAGTTGATTGAAGTAAATATCCCAAGTATTTGCGTTAATTACGCGTTTCCTTTCCGGCTCATAAATCTATTTTTCACTCAACTTTTCTGTACTCTTGAATTCTTTATTTTTCCCCCCTCCCTACCCACTCTGTCACAAAAAGGAAACAAGGGCGAAACTAGGTGTCAACCCTCGTATCCTAGTGGCAAAATGCGGCCAGGACGGACATGACAGAGGTGCAAAGGTGATTGCATCTGCGTTTAGTGACCTCGGATTTGATGTCGATCTCTCGCCTCTTTTTAGCACTCCAGAAGAAGTGGTGCGACAGGCAATCGACAACGATGTGCATGTGATTGGTATGTCATCTCAGGCTGCTGGTCACAAGACATTAGTACCTGCATTGATTAACGAATTGAAAAGGCTCGGGATCGATGACAAGATTGTCGTTGTGGGAGGTGTGATTCCACGGCAGGATTATCAGTTCTTGTATGATGCAGGTGTCAGTGCAATATTTGGTCCTGGGACCAAGATACCTGATGCAGCTCGGTTGGTTGTCGAGAAAATTCAGGAAAATATCAAAGATTGATGCCATGTGATTTTAACATCCTAGGGCAATTTTTTATAATGATAATCTAATTATGTACAATAAACAAGAGTCTTATCTACGATGCCCGAAGAATTGACATATTATAGTCGGAATCCCAGTGTTGTCTTTGGAATTTTGCATACTGTTTCAACAAGGAAAGGAAACAAAAGCTTTTCACTTGCGCATTGCACTGATTTACGTGAGTCGTAGATATAACCGCATAACTGTTGCGAGAAAATGTGTTTAAATAGCTCGATCCGTTTATCCGCGATTCTCAGAACTCACATGTTGCTATGGATTTGTCACAGACAATTATGTTTTCGTATACACACAATTATTATTACCGGAGCAAAAAGGCATGCCAACTATGATGTCGCGATCTTAGCATACGATATTATGTTTTCGTATACGCAATTATTATTACCGGAGCAAAAAGGCATGCCAACTATGATGTCGCGATATAGTATTAGTATATACTACATACGATACAACCTAGCTATCAATCGTCGTCTGATAATAATGATTGGAATTTGCTAATTCGTCGCTATAATATTGTGCTACTAACTTCAGATATTTCTGAACAAATTGTGGGGGAATGACGCGTTTTCCAAATCTAGCATGTTCATGCTTTTGGACATTGGGGGGTTAGATATCGGTAGTGTTACAAACATAGGGGAAGCCTCATATGAAAATCCATAAACGAAGTTTTTTTCT